CATACTACCAATCTTAATATGTTACTAGTTACTGATCACAACTTTCCCACACGTCTCGGCAATTCTGTAGCAAGGGACACCACGCCGGACCTGGCTTTTGTCAGGAACGTCGAGTGCCCTTTCTGGCAGAACTTGCATGAGAACTTGGGGAGCGACCATTTCATCGCGTCTATCTCCCTCGATGTTAAAGCACCGCCGCCGCGGGTTTTCAAAATTGTTGATTGGGATGCCTTTCGGGAACTCAGACAAAGCGATGAAAAAGAGTACGATGACCTTGGCAAGCTACTTGAGCGTCTTAAGGCAGATGTTAAAGATGCCACTAAGGTGGTGGAGACGGATCTTAAAACGGAACGCATGGACAGCCGCCTAGCGAGGCTCCTTGCAGCCAAAAACTCCTTACTTAACAGATGGCGTACGCAGCGACTCAACAGGCGGCTCAGAAAGAAAATTGCTCTGCTCAAACAGGAGATTGAATCGTACAGCCAAACCCTGGCCAGACAACAATCGGATGAGGTCTGTAACGCTGTCGATGGACAGATGCGGTCAGGGGCGAAATGGAACATTCTCAAGCACCTCCTGGGAGATAAGCAAACTAAAGCTAATCAGAAACACACTGTTGATCGGCTCATTCACAAGAAGAGGTCTGCTGGGCTCTCCAATGATCAAATCTTACAACAGCTGGCGGATAGGTACCTCCCCCTGGGGGCTACCACGGATGCAGACTACCCGGATTTCTCTGGTCTGGAGGATGCGGAGCTGGACTCCCCCTTCAACACGGCAGAGATCAGGGCGGTCCTTTTTGATCTCAATGGAAAATCGGCTCCCGGGCCGGATGGTATCACTAACAGGCTACTTAAAAATCTGGACGATAGATCCATTGAGCTACTAACTGACGAGGTCAACCGGGTTTGGGAGTCGGGGCAGGTGCCGAAGGAGTGGCGAACGGCCTCTGTCGTCCTCATTCCCAAGCCTGGTAAACCTCTCGGGCTCGGCACGCTCCGACCGATCTCGCTCACGTCTTGCGTGGGTAAGGTCGCGGAACATGCAATCCTTAACCGAATCTCCCATCACATTGAACAAAACGAGCTCTTCCCTTTCAATCTCATTAGCTTTCGTCCCGCGCTCTCTACGCAGGACGTTATGAAAATGATTAAACATCAAATTCTCGACATAGACACCAGAGATGTCCGAGGGATTCTTGCACTCGATCTGGAGAAAGCTTTCGAGATTATCTCACATACTCACATACTGGATTCGATCTCTGAGTTGGGATTGGGGGCCCGCTTTTACGGGTTCGTCCGCTCTTTTCTCAGGGATCGCGTTGCCACCATTCGGCTCGGGGACCTCTGCTCCAAGGAATTTCACCTTGGACCTAGGGGAACCCCTCAAGGATTGGTCATTTCGCCGCTAATTTTTAATATCGCGAAGAGGAAACTCTCGCTCGAACTCTCTCGTATCGACCGCATCGGACATGCGCTGTATGCGGACGATATTACTATATGGTGCACTGGGGGTATCGGAGACGTTGAGGAGTCCCTCCAGCAGGCCCTCAGGTGCACGGAGGAGTTTTTGGATAGCACGGGGCTGCACTTGTCGACCGCCAAGTCGGAGCTCCTCCTGTACACACAGCCGGAGAAACGCAAGTTCACCACTATTCCATTTCCGCCGGAAGAGATCAGGATCGAAATTCACACACGGTCAGGGCAGGCCATCCCCCGTGTCAATAAAATTCGGATATTAGGCATGTTCCTAGAGGAGCACGGAAGTAACTCTCATACTCTGACTCGTATTGCGGCAAAGGCGGAGAGCATGGTTGAGCTTATACTTCGGGTGTCTAACAGGCGTGGAGGGCTTTGTGAGGCCAACCTCATGAGGCTTTTCCATGCCTTTCTTATGAGTCACATTAATTACATTGCTGCAGCGCATAGGTGGGAAAGGAAAGAACAAGGGAAACTGGATGCGATTATTCGAAAGTGCATTAAGAGGGTCTTGGGCCTTCCAAGCAACACAAATGAGGAAAAGCTCAAGGCTCTTGGTATGCATAATACATTTAGTGAGATTGCAGAAGCGCAACAAACAGCACAAGCTGCACGACTGTCCTCTTCCAAAGCTGGGAGACGCATCCTGGAGTTTCTGGGCTGCGAACCAACTATGGTAGCAGACAAAAAGATACAGCTTCTACCCAAATTGAGGGAGCAGATTACGGTCTCACAAATTCCTAGAAATGTTCACCCTCTCTACAATGTCGGCCGCCGGGCCGCTAGGGCTAGGTCGCTCCTCAGTTCCGCCGCTGCCACCCCTGAACTTGTGGCGTTCGTTGACGCAGCACAGTATCCCGGCACATCCAATTTCGTGGCTGTGGTCACTGACCTTCACGGTAAAATCCTCACAGCAGCATCTCTTCGAGATACCACACCGGCTAGGGCAGAGCAGGCTGCTATAGCAATGGCCGTGGCGATTCCCATGCGCACGCGCATTTTCACTGATTCTCGAGCTGCTGCACGAGCGTTCATGACCTGGTCAGTCTGTGAGCAGGCGGCCCATCTTCTTCTTACCAAAAGACCACATTGCACGGAAATCGACGGCCACATCACCTGGTTTCCTGCCCACATGGGCAAGGATATCCACCCTGTTATCCCCAATGCCAATGAGCTTGCCCATGCCCGAGCACGCGAACTGTCCCACCGTGACGGGCAATCGGCATCTAATTTTGGGGATGGCATCCGGCAGCTTGATTCGCTCCTCAGCTTTAACGAAATTTGCAAAAATTATCAATTGGCCAGGCGTAGCTTTCGGCTCCCGCACCCGCAACTTTCTAGGGCCCAGTCAGTCACTTTAAGAATGCTGCAAACGGGTACTTACCCGTCGCCTTTAGTGTACAGCAAGTTTATCGACAGCATAAAGCCGCAATGCCCTCATTGCGAAGAGAGACGTTGCACGTTACCCCACATGCTCTGGCAATGCGCGGCGCTGCGCGATGGCGAGCCTCTCAGCACAGAAGCTGCCTGGAGGACGGCAATTACCAGCTCGGACCGAGAGGTCCAAATCCGGGCTGTCCAGAGGGCCCGCAATTTGGCGGAGGGGCTCGCTCTTCCTGTCCCCACGTGGGTGCGGCCCGCAGCCGACCCTCCCTCTTGAGGGGAATCGGCTCCTCAGGACAATTTGTAAATAAAGTTCATTGACTGACTGACTGAGTGATCCTGGAGACAACGCGTCTCGAAAGCCCATTTGACAGCGTAATCCCAGACTCAGGCTAGCTAGGTCAATCTCGAAGGGTTTCAGATGCGAAGCAGCTCTTTGACTAGCCTGTGTAACGCTGTCCGTCCGTGTCTCTGAGCCAATGCACCACACCGCGCTCCCCTCGCCACAGTTACTGGAACAATGCCAAGTAGGTCAAGTCGCAGCTGTGCGATGTTGTCACTCTCCCTTACCCGCACCAGCTGCTGGCTCCTCCGCCAGCTCTCAACACACTTCTCGCTGGCTTCACCCTCTACAGCACCCTCAACGCTCAACCGTACATCTGTCAAGTGGAAACACTAGACAGATTTAGCTGCGCGTCTGTGGCAGTTGTATGGACGCGGCCTGCCATTCTAAATGGCTAGCAGGCTGGGCCCATACAGCTCTTGGGAACGTGTGACTAAATTTGTCTACTTCTTCAGTTCTGCGATGAAACTTGCATGAAACCCAACCCACCAAACAAACGCTTACTTGAGGAAACGCTACACTGAGTTTCGCTTCAAACCATCTTTCCAGCACCTCCGTCAACGCCCTTTTCAATGGGGTCAACGCCGTGTGCACCACTGCTGCTTTGCATCTGATCGCGGTTCCCTTTAGAGAGATGTTTCGTAATTTTTTATGTCAACTGGTCCCGACAGACGTGCAAGGTATCTTGACTGCAAAGGTGGAGGCGCTGCGACAAACCACGTGCCTGCTGCAAAACGGCACTTCCGAGGACAATTACTAAACTAGGCACCATCCAAGTTGTCAATGAAATTGCGTTTTCACTGTGGCCAACCCATGAAATGCATTTCAAGTGCCCCAATTTTGTGTTTGTCTAGTTGAATGCAGGTTTTTCATAATGTGCTTCACAAATCTGCTTGAGTTACTGTGTATCAGCTCTAAAGAGCATAGTTAATGCACAAAAGATGCTCCTTTATGGTGGTGTAGCTGCTAAGGTGCTCAGCTGCTGACATGAAAGTCATTTGGTTCAATTCCGGCTGTGGCGGCTGCAGTTCAGTGAAGGCAAAATGCTGGGTGCACGTGCAAAGCATGTTAAATTTTAACTCCAGGAAGTCCGAATTTCCAGAACCCATCACTAAAGCATCTCTTAACATCATATTGTGGTTTAGAAAAGAAAACCCTAGATACGTTTGCTCCAACAATTTCGTATTACTACTTCAAAGCACTCCATGTTGTTACTATGCCTGTAATGCACCCTTCAGCAACTGCCATTTGACTAGTGAATTCAACGAAACATTTTACCCTGCGCACGCTGTGAATGCAAATAGTTTTTTTGCCTGCCCATCGTTCCATTCTCGATTCATTCATTCTTAATGCCCCCATACACAGTGAAATGCATGTACTAGACCGCAAATGAGCTCTGAAGAAAACCACAAGGTAGTGGAAGGGTCACGAAAGGCATAGAAAACAACCACCAGTTTGTAGCACGAAGCCACAAGAAATTCATTCGGATTTCTCAAAAAGAAAAGCTTCTAGTTGCCGATAAATTCATCCTGGCCCTGATTTAGAACTCATGACCAACGCTTTTCCAGGACAGTTGCTCTGCCAACTGAGCTAACCAGGAAGCTAGCAATCGATACGGCGAGGCTGAATCCATCGACAACCCAAAGTACATGGCCACAAGTATTGAGTATTAATTGCACTGCTACTCTTTCTGGTTAAAGCAAGTGCCCACTTTAGCACCACTTTCCTTTGAACACGCTATTCCACAGCTGCGGCTGCACAAGTTAATTCTAGAGGTGAAAAGACGGGACAAAAAGTGTAATGATCAATAAAATCTTTTTATTCTCCGAGATGACAAATAAAACAGCGCGCTACCTATACATTATGTCTTCACCAATAGAAAGATATACGTCGCTAACTTCACTTTTATTTACACAGCAAAGAATGCCAAGTCAATTCATTAAAAAAACATTCACAATAACTTATGGCACAAACACCCACAAAGGCACTTTTCTCTTGGAATCATTTATAAACTTTCCTTTAAAAAAAGTGCAGCTCTGTGCATTAGATAAAGACTCTTTAAAAAAATCTTTTAAAAATATCTTCAAGGAACAAACCATTCACTCCTTCACGAACAAGAAGGTGTGACAACACATGAGATCTGGGGTAGGACTCCATGAGAAATGTTTAAAATGTCGAAGAAGAAAAAAGTCCACTTTTCGGGTTTCCGCCACAACTGCGTCGTCAACTGTCCGTTCCCATCCAGACTGGCGTGGCTTGTCTTGACTGTCGTCTCGATCACAGTCTCGTTACACGCACAAAATCTCTCTTTAAGTTAGGCAAAACCGGGGAGTCGTTCGCCCCGGCAAAAGGCAAAAAAAAAAAAAAAAAACGCAGAGAACAGGTACCACTCGGAATGATTCGGTGACATGAGGAGCACGCTTGGTCGCTGGAACTCGATCGCGGCGACTGTCGCTCGGTGAACAATGGAGGGACGTGAGAAAAGAAATGAGCGCGAAGGCGGGCGAGCGAGAGGTGGTATTTTCTTTTTACAGTTGCTCGTTTCCGGCGCCGTCTCAAACTCAGAAGTTGGTCACGCTGTGGCTCCGGTTGGCTTTCTTGCCAACAAACCGACTGGCGCGGCTCGTCTGTGTCGACAACGAATGGACGATGGGCAGGGACTGCAAACACATTGACGCCTCTTCCAGTTTCCTGCGGGGGAGGGAAAACGCGAGCTGGAATTAGCCGACGTGCTTCGAGGGACGAGAAAATAAAATGCGGGTGGCGGCACCACCCTGACGTCTTTAACCTGTAAAAATCCTTCACATTGTGTGCCGAGGTGCTCACTCAAAAAGGAAAGTTTAAAAAAAAGATAACTAAAATTTGTGACATCACACTGTCGATCACATACAGAACATTCAGCGCAAAACTTCAAAATTAAACACTGATCTCAATTCCTATTCTAATAGTTATCATATTATGGTTATATTAATTACTTTAATATTTCAAGAGATTAATTTGTCTTCTTAAACTAATTTAATCTTTCACTTAGTTTGCTTTAACTAGGCTTTAGGAGACCAAGTCACCCACACCCCATAACATTTCTGTCATGAATGAATGTATTGGAAGCATGATTAAAGACAGTTTAATGTAATACAAAACAATGTAATAAACTAAATGTCCAATTCTTGAAAGTCTAAACGTGAAGGATATCAAATATTACGAGTCCAAAAACTCGCTGCCTTGCAGTGCAGAGCATTAGGCGTTCCGGGGCATGCATCGGCTTGCCACCTTTTGCACAACAGAAGTGCTTGTGTTCGTTTAACTTACCCCCCTTTTCGCGCTGTTTCTTCTTAGTATCAAGCAAAACCGCACAATGTTTTAGTAAAATCGAACTGTACATTCGCGGAGATAAAGTTGAACTCCCTTATAAGAGAAATGAACTGGGGTGCAACTGTTTTCGTTTTATATGAGGTCTCTTTCATTATCAAGGTACCATGTTGCATTTTCCTATCAACACTTACTTCTATGTACGCACACTAGTGTCTCTCACATCAGTGTCTCCTATAGAGCGGATTGAATTAGTAAGTTTTTTTTTTTTTCTCGCATTTCGTTTAAAGAGCGCATGAATGCATTCTGCTCTAAATTACTACACCGACGTCCAAATGCATCTACCGTTTGTTCTAACAAATCGCTAACGAACCAATGACAGTGTGGAAGCTAGACCAACTCACTTGGAGAGGAGCTCGTTCTTGAACCGCTCGGCATTCAATTCCTTCCGCAGCTGCGCCCTCGACTTGGTGGCATGGGGCACCAACACAGGATGGTGGAGGAGAGAACTCGCGGAGGGTCGCTGGGTCGGCACTTTCTGGATCATCTCCTGCAGAGAACACAAAAGGTGTGACAATTTTAGCGACCAAACCATTTGGCAGATAGTAAACTACCTGTACATAACTATAGACGGCTACATCAATACAAATAATTGTAAGCTCCGCCCACTGAATTGCAGTCTGTTCTTTAGATGACGTCGGACAGTTTTCTCGGATTTCAGGCACATTACCTGGCCGGCCGTACAGGCTCATAATCATATCGCTAGTTTTCGGTTGAAAATTTTTACTACTTGGCAAAATTCAACGAAAATGATGGCTTCGCTGCTATGTGAATGGTAACATTTTAACAAGGAACGACAAACTTTTTATTTGTAATTTGAAAGGCATTAACAGCGAAAATGTGCTTATGGTTAGAACGGAAATTTCCAATGATTGTACTGTTGCTCAGATGAATGACAAGCGTGCTGCAGTACTGGTAACAGAGCGCGTATTTATTCCTAGGCTGCAACACTAACTACAGATAAAGATTGCTACACGCTTAACTGTGTAATGCATCGCTTGTCATAATAACCACTTCCAGTTTTGTGCACTGGCATAGCCTAGTAGCATTGGCAGGGAACGAATGCCTCTTATGCCTACGCCTGGCTGAATATTTCATACACAGTTTATTCTAAGGTACAAAAAAAAATTACAACAGGTAGTCCTGAAATTTGAAGGGGCCCTGCAACACTTTTTGAGCATAGTGAGAAAACGCTGCTGATCCGTTTAGAGGCTCCCGAGAACACGCGAGCCAAATTAGAGCGCAGCACGCGCCCTGGAATTCAGAATAAGTCATAAAAGTCAGCAAAACATTGCTCTCTCTTCTCTCGACAAACGACGAAGGAAGCTAAAAAATCACTCGTAGAAGGCCATCTATCAGCCATTGGCCGATTCGAACTTGGCGGACTCAGGCGTTACTGGGATCGCCGCGAGGCCATGACCTGTCCATGCGCGTGCATGCGTGATCACAGTGCAAGTCACGTATTCGAAGAAAAACAAAAAAGAAAAAAAGTGCTTAATGTCATGAGGCACGCGCCACATTTTCTTTGCTCAGGCCATCTCTCCAAATCCAGATGTGCGCCGGTTATGTTGCAGTACAATTGAACCTTTAGACTCTGGTTTGAATCTGACCACGGGAAATATTTGTGAACTGGAAGGCCTCACTTCTGAGGAATCTATCGATTTACTTTGCCCCTACACTCAAACCTCATAACAAAGTTGCATCTTGAACAGATATAAGTTAGGTAAATTTGAAAATTCATTACAAAGCTATGTTCCTAACATGTATATTACACAAGATTATTTATCATGTACTTTGTTATAATAGATACTTTGTTACATCCAAGTTTCGTTATATCGCAGTTTGTCACGTAATAGAGGTGAATTTATATTATCGTTCCTCAAGAGCTTTAATCCACCTTGGCGCATTTCTGCCGAGCCAAATCACCAAATTCAATTGCCGCAACTTTTAGGCAAGGAAAAATTCTCCATGCTGCATTTGTGAGAAAAGTCTTAATTTTGCTGATAAAAGGAACGTTGCTAATTCACGACCGGTTATATATAAAAAAATCTGGTTTCACTCGTCCTATGAATTCGAGCGGCACGGTACTTACAGCAAGCAGTTGGTTGAACTCTGGTGAACATTGTTCGAGCTTTGGGAGGTTCCCCTTTCGGATAGCAACCCAGTCCTGACCGTTCTTGGGGAGAGGACCACCGCCACCCTGTAAAAAAAGAAACAGCCGCACCATTTTAATTCACGTGTGCCAGAACTTATGTACAGCACTAAAGTACAGAAACCTCTCAAGTGTAACTCTGCATGCAGAAAAAATTGCTTTCGCTCGAGTTTGTTCACTTGCCAGCATAGGTCGGCAAGGTTTTCCGAGCTCACTCAGACTCACCCGACTCATGAAATATACTTTCGACCTGCGACTTAAACTCTCTAGAATATTACTCGCACAGACTCGCTCAAACTTATGGCTCGATTCGAGTCTGAGCGAGTTCGCCGACCTGTGCTCGCCAGTGATATCATCTGTGACGAGGTAACAGCAGCCCGTTTTTTCTTGCGTCTAACCTATACGAAAACTACAGAAAATTTGGAGCCAAGACTTAAAAAAAAAAAAGATAAGAATTTCTGTGTGAAGGTGCCTTCACAACATTTCTTTGCAGTCATGCAAAAAGTTAGCTTTGCCGTAATGCGTGGGCATTTTAATTTTTCTGTGTAATTGATATGGACATTGATTATACGCAAGAGACTATGGTAGTCTGTTGTTTACAATGATTGGCAAATATATGTTGTCGCAGCAGTCTCAAACTTTACACTGCCATCTGACTAAGCACTAGAAACAACTGCCCATAATTGTGCAGAAATTTTGCAGCTTGCACAAATGATGCCTTCTCGGGGATAAGAGTACTCTTATCCCCGAGAAGAGATTGCACAGCAATCTTGCAGTATTGAGCAATTTTATGAACACCAAATTTTAAAATTTTCACGTAATGAGTATTGACCATAATAGAGCTATTTGCACACTAGATACTTTCTTACATTAGGTTTTTGCTCGTTACAAGCCAAAGCCATCACACAATTAAGAGGCACGCCTTAGTAAAGGCACCTACAGCTGTTCATCACGCATCTGAACACAACTGGTTGCGACAAACCTCCAGTGAGATAGTTTGCAGCGCAGTAGGATCTCATTAAAAGAAGCCTAATCATAACCATGAATAAGTGTTATATCCTACATTCATTGCAACAGTATAGAGTTGAAACTCTGCTCTACCAGAACAGAGGTCTGCCCGACTTGAAAATGCTGATACAATCCTTCTGTGCTCGACACCCACTATTAATGAGGCAAGCTTGACCAGTCAACTTGTCACACTTGGAACTTTAGTTCATACAGTGGTGTGACCAGACAAATAAGCTTGCTTCTGCTAGGTGACCAAAATTTCAGCAAAGGTTTAGCAGAACTAGAAAGATAGTGTTTGCAAGTTGTTTGCAACTATTTATATAGATTTTTATGCTACCTTTCTCGAGTCCCGATACTCGCATGACCCAAATACTTGCTCACTGCAGCCGATATTTACATCAGCTCTCGTGTTTTCAGTTTAGTTATATATGAGAACAAATGCCACTGATACAAAACTTGACCAATCAAAGTAATTTTTATTTAGTTTTCTAGAACTGATAATTCGCTATACCAGCATTCGTTATGAGAAAGTTCAACTGTGAACTTCCTGTTTTTTTTTTATTTTGTCATCTTATTTGGACAAGGATCAAGGGGAGAGGCCACTCACCGCTTCAAAGACTGTAAGGCCAAGTGCAAAGATGTCCGCCTTGGGGAGGTTCGAGTAGTCTTCGCGTAGAACTTCTTTCGAGAGGTACCGGCAGTCGCCCTCTTCTACTTGGGGGTTTTTGGTTGAGGTCACATGACCCAGGTCACCTGCGAGAACGCAGTGATCGTTTTGAACGTTGAGGTTACAGAAAACGCACCAGCATCCAGTATAGGCTCTGTCACAACTGCAACCGGCAAAATAATCGCTCAACCTTTTGCGATTGGCAACCAAAGAGAAAGTCAAGACTTTGAAGACGTGTTTAAAGTGCACGAAGAAGACATGTTAGACGCATAAAACGCACACGAAGTGCACGAGTGTGCATGTTCCGAGTGTCCAATGCGTTGTCTCCTTCGCGCAGTCGGAACATGTCTTCAAAATTGATTGACGAACTAGTCCGACATCATGCATTACTTCAGAGTCGAGACGACCGATGTTCACGCCTGGGTGCGAGCCGCAACTGTAGTTGCATGGAACCGACGTATTTCTCACACTGCCGCTGCCCCACAAAATAAACTAACACTCCATTCCCGCGCATCCAATCGGTTTATAAAGGTTTGCAACCGCAGTCGCCTAACTGAAAAACCAAAGCATTGAGCAACTCTGCCAAAACAGTTGCTTCACAAACAAATGGACATTTGCAAGCCTTTGCGAGGCCAGCTTGGTTGCGCAACTGAAACTGGTCACAGACGTGAACGAGCCATAAGGCATACAGGAGCGCAGACTGAGCATTTTTTTTTTTTTTTGAGGTGTGGGTTCATTATGCAAGTAAATGCGGTAACTTGCAAGGAGGTGTAAAAAATTTATAGGTTGTACACGCAAGAGTTGTTTGCACTAGCAGTAGCGGAATTATGTTCCTCTGCAAAGTACAACAAATCCGAGTCTTCACTCCGTGCCACACTCACCAATCTTGTAGACAACTTCGACAGTCGGGCCCTCCGAACCGGAGTCAAAGCCGTCGTCCTGGCTCTCGGGAAGCACAGCAATCGGAACCCTCGAGATGAAGATGTTTCCTGAAAAGCAGGAAGTCAAAGTTTACAAAGGGTCAAATTTTGTGAGAGGCCAAAGTTTACGTAGGGCACTGACACTACTGTGGTTGGGGAAAACTAAAGCCCCTCCCGCCGTTCACCATTTGCACTGACCAGTTCGAACTCTTTCCATGCCACAACAAAAATGGGCATTTTTCTTTTGTAAGTTACACGAGATCCCCTCTTATGTATTTTTTTTTTTCCTGATGAAACAACTGGATCTAATATTTTTAAGCTTTACATAAAAGAAAAGCACAATAAACTTATCACACATACAGGTCTCATTAATGAGATCTGTGTTATACAAGCTATATAAACCCCAAATTCAACATTGCAAGGCTAAATTGCAGAACAACAGTGCAGGACACAATTTGCGTCAACAGCAGGACATTCTGCAACACAAGCTCGATGATGCAGTGCAAATTAATCTCTGGTGCTTTGATCGAACTAACAATGACAAAAAAAAAAATAAAAAGACCATGTTCATTGCAAGACTGAATGAAATGAAACTGCTTTCAGTTAGAATAAGGCAGTGCTCCACCTAAAGCCGCTAGATTTTTTTTGTGTGTGACAAATGCCAGATCAGCATAACATCCTCCAAGGCAGGCGGTTTGAAATATGCGAATGGTATAGTACAGATTTAAATGCCATTCCCTTTCCAACAAAGCATTCAAGAACCAGGCACTCTTGATGTTTCTGGAACGCTATTTCAACAAAGCACGTTTATTTAATAATGGCATATAGCGTGTGTCTTAAATACTGATTACACCACACTTCTTCCGGGCTTCCCTCTCACACTTCATCAATTCCTAACGTGAAGTTGTAATCAAGCAACTGTAGCTTCTTATTTTGAGCTGAAGCAGCAGCAGGTCTTTAACTTTCAAGCTTGTGCTGTACTAAAACCTCTCCAACACTACCACAGCATATATGCATACAGAGGCACGCTTTATGTCTTATTGGCTCGCATGGACTGCTTAAAGCAGTACCTACACAAAAATTTTACATCGTGCTTTTTCCTATTGCAATGAGCAGTTAAACCAGTTGTCACAGCTGGAAACCACAGCTGCTTGTTTGCGTGACGGTCAACTATTTGGAGAAGCTGTTATTTTACCCAGTCGCAGTTAGGCTTTCGGAGAACTGCAAAGACGTGCGGAACGCTGAGCTGTTTTTGTGTGAACACAGCTGGCCACGTCAACACACCAAATGGTGCATACATCTGCACCTACGTTAACAACTCTTTTCGACAAAGGCTCAGTGGGTGCCACCAGAATCCCCTCTGACATTTTGTGAATATGTGTGGCGCCCCCGAAAAAAATCCCCCGCTGAGACAATGTTGTAAGCCTCTTCACTCCCGTTCAAGTCTGCCGGCACTTTCCACCCCGGAAAAGGTCTGCTAAGAGAGCACTTCCATAAAGTGTGGCAGGCAATGCAAACTCCTGACATAGCTGTTCGTTGGTGGTTTACATTCGAAGGAAGTTTGTGTTCGATTTCGTGTGGTGGTGCACTTGGGGTGCAGTTGCACTTCGCAAACTTTAACTACCGATTTCAGATATACGTTCCACCCTCTATTAAGCATTGATAGTTTGAATATGAAGCATGTGTGTCCATGTAAATCTACTGCACGAGCCATTTCACCTCGAAAATCTCGAGGCAGTACTTTTCTAAAGTACTACCGTGAACGTGACGCTGCCGCTGTGGTCGGCGATTTAGTCAAGTGGCGGGACACAAAGAGTACTCACCTGGCTTAATGTCCATGTGGACAAGGTTCTGGGAGTGGATGTAGCGAAGGCCCTCGGCCACGTGGAGAAGGATTCTCCGCAGGTCCTTCTCCGAGAAGTGCGTGCCCTCTTGCGCGTTACGCTGGATGGCGTCCGCCAAGCTGCCCCCTGCAAGCGACACCAGACATCCTCCGATCAGAAAAGCCGGCAGTTTCACGACAAGGTCAAAGCAACAGATGCAAAAGCAACAGTGCGGAATGTTACATTCGAAGGAAGGCTAGGCAGTTTTCAGTGGCGGGCAGTTTGAACTGCCCTAATGACATGTAGACCACTAAAACTAAGGGCTTCCTCAGCACAGAGCAAGCACTACAAGGCTTTTGCGATGCTATTTAAACTGACAGTAAAGAGAAACAACAAATTGGTTTAGACTGACAAACTGCATTTTAGAACTATGATCCCATACATTCCACTTTCATGAGTTCATTATTAGTGAAGAAAATCAAGGCTGAAGTTTAATTTCTATATTGTGCACCAAAATCTCTCCGTGTGACGTCAGAAACTTCAAGATGTGTTTTTGGTATTTTCGGCACATTGACTAGTTAAAAGTTTCTGAAACTTCGTATGCTAGGTTTTAGGCACTCCACAGATGACATGTGCTTCATTTTCATCGATTAAAAGCCATGCAGGACTCGGTAGACGCCTTTCAAATCTAAGACGTCACGGTGTATGATGCGAGAATCTCAAGGTGGAGTCTCCATACACACTCGCGCGTTTTCTTGCTTACCAAGTGTCGTGTGGTGATAAGAGTTGTACTTTTGGGATTGTGAAATTGCACTTTACTAGTACGCAAAAAAATCGCCTTGCTGTTTAGTGTGCCTTAAAACAGTTCACATTGACTTCAGTACTAACACGAAGATTTCCAGTTCTCTCTTTTTTTTATTCAATTGAAACACCAAGCCCTCAAGAGCCTAAAAAACGCACTGGCAAGCCTGAGTGCACCACAAAAAAGTAATTACAGTATTCTGACTGCAGTCGGCGACTCTGCTTTGTAAACTGTACATATCATGTGCACAACTTCATCTACCGTATTCACAAGATTGTGAATGGTGAATCTGTGGAATTGTGTCACGATAGTGTCAATGACGTAACCGCACTATGGGAAAATCGATATCGATCTTAAAATGAAATATCTTAGAGTGTACTAAGCTTTGCACTTGTGCAGGGCAGTCTCTTTATGCAGATAATCTGTATGACAAGGCAGACTGCACAGCGAAAATCGGTGTGGATACCTCGTAACATTTACCTTAAAGGGGCCTTACAACACTTCTCGAAGTAGCCACATAATTGATTCACCAAAGGAGCTTATTGCCTCGTGAATTTACCGCCCCATCAAATTTTTAGAATCGGCCCAGTACGAGCGTAGTTGCAAAGACTTTTCACACGCTGCAATTGCATTCTTTCTCCTCTCGTCCTAGGAGTGTTAGAAGCTAAGCAGGGAGGGACGGCACTGGCAAAGAAAATGCGTCACGCACAGCACAGTGACCTTGAGCACTTTTTTCTCTCTCCTTTTTCTTTCTTCGAATATGCAATTTTTCAGTGCGATCGTGCGCGCACGTGCGGACAAGCTTCCCATGGCAGCCGGTGCTACGACAGAGATCGGCACGCTAAAATCAGCCAATCGCTGATGCACTGGCTGTGACTAGCGATTTTCAAGATTGTTCACTCATTTGTTAGGAAGAGAAAGCAATGTTTAGCTGACTGAGAATTCATTCTGAATTCCAGGCAGCATGCTGGACTACAATATTTGGCTTGCATGTTCTCAGGACCCTCAGTTGACCTCAGTTCTCTGACCATGCTCAGAATGGTTTCCAGGACCCTATCAAGCGTGCCTTTATGAGTAGCCTACTACATGCAGCCAGCGTACTCACCATTACAGAACTCATTTTGGATGATCATGTGGTCGTTTTCGGCCCAGGCCGAGTAGTAGCGGACAACGTGCGGATGCTGGCCCAACACTGCGTGCGCGTAGACTTCATTCAAGGCAGTTTTCCTGTTGAAATCGAAAAAAAAAAACATGGGTCACAAAAATTAGTCAATGACAAACTAGGTGAGAGAATGGCTAAATTGAATGTCTACGCCCTAAACAGCGCCTCGTCTTTGTTATCAATGCCAGCGAGGTGCGCCCGCCCTCTCCTGCTCTGACCCATTGCATAACCTCTGCGTGTGCTTTGCGGTCATGAGGGGGACAGCCCCTCATGCAGTGCCTCACGACGGAAATCATCCAAGTAATTTTTTGTTCAGCATTGTACAGATCCATGGGGCGACTACTTGCATTTCTCATGTTCACAAAGTCGGCAATCAAGCTGGCTGCAATACGACGTTTTGAGATAGCGCGCCGCTACTTTTTTTTTTGTTTTTTTTTTATGCGATATTTTCAGTCCTACGGGCGACCTCCTGCCGCAGTTTGCGGTCTGTCCTGCAATCTTGCGTTATATTCGACTGTAAATGTTTAGTATCGCCGATCAACATAACATGTTACCTCTAGTATATTTTTCAGACAATTGATGTCACTGGGCAATCGCTCTGTTAACGAACTCCAACGAAAACAAAAATGTAGAAACCGAACTTTTCCAAACCAGCCAGCAGAGGGAGGACTAGCCCACTGGCAACAACGTCTTATGGCCATTAGTGCAGGGGTCATTCACTAAATGCTTCTCTGTGGAATTCAATTCGTGATAATGCTAAACTTGGTAAGGTTAATATAGTTTTTTTAGCAGTGCTGGTTTACTTAAATTAACTATAACTATAATGTAAAAATGTAAGCACACAGCTATTCCAGTCTAGAAGACCTGTATTAGGCTCTCTGCCAGCCTTGCCCAGTTGCCTAGCGTATCAAGCAACTCGCGCAGCAGAGATGTTTTCAGATGACACTACAGCTTTCATAGAATGATTAGACCTGTGGCCTGAACAGTATCACATTACCATCACTACAAAAACACCCTCATAACCATGGCAATGCATTGCTAGTAGCTCCATTCGCAATGTGTAAAACATAAAGAAGTGTATTTTCTTGTGTATTCTTTCATTGAGATTGCAAACGTTTGATTTATCTTGTTTCCATATTGCTGTACTGTTTTCTTGCAGTTTGCCACTCCAGAAAATTGTACGGGTACTAACCTAACCTAATCAACATTGTGTATTTCTGCACTGTCTATGGCCCCTCTACCCCGGTCAGAGAATGTCTAAATAAACAATAAACAATTTTTAAATCTTAAACAGGCTAGTTCGTGTAAATAACGTATACATTCTCTCAATGCCTCTCACCAACTTCATTTATGAACAATTTTTCTTCTCCAGCCATTTTAAGGCCAGTATTCTCACTTCGCAGGTGCTGCATGCGGATGGCCGGTACGGACCACGAAGACAACCAAACAGGATATGAAAAAACGGCCACGCTGGAAGAAATAAGCCAGCGGTCTGTACTCACTCATCCTGGGTGCCTCGCATGGGCTTGCGAGACTTCTTGATGGCGTAGACACATCCGTCCAGTCGGTGCAGGCACTTGTACACGCTGCCAAACTCGCCGCTGCCCACTTCGTTGAGCTCGAGGAACTCCGTCTCGTAGCGCGAATGGCCGGGCTCCATTCGCGTGATATGCTGCGCCTGCGGACAGATCAGAGTCACAGAAATACGACAACTTAGTTTTAATAATACAATAGTTATTGCAAATTTATATCCTAAAACAGCAATACGAATATGAGGCATACAGCAGTCGAGGGCTCCAAAAATATTGACCCTCTGGGGCTGCTTAACTTGCCCCGAAATTTAAGTATGCCAGTAGAATACCGCCTCCAACCAAATGTGGCCACTGTGAACAGAATTTAGTCTCGCCGTGTGCAGGTCAGCATACAATCACCGTAGCCACTAAACCAACATGGCAGGTTGGCATCTTAGTTGTAATCACCAAGACAATCTTTACTAAATAGGAATTAAATTCTAAGGCCCCCCCCCCCCCCCCTCAAAGAAAAAAAGAAAAACTGGAACACTCTTACGAAGTGACGAAGTCATTCAACTGGGAATACTACAGCAGCCTATATTAAAAAAAATACATGTCTTCATCACGTCTTGTCTGAACACCTACTCCAGTAACATGTTCTGTTAATTTTTTTTTTATCGCTCCAAGCCTCCATACTCCTCTAAACTTATGTCATAGTTGAATATGATTATGAGACACCTCATTCATTACTCAGATCCGATTAACCGTCTGGACCTATCCAAGACATCTAAATGTAAACCTTTTTTTTTTCTTGTACTTCAATCGCGCTGCAATACAGCCACTGTGGGTAAAAGTTGCACCCACACGAATGGTTACCACTGGACGCATTGAAAATAAGCGAGGTACATTGCTAGTCCACGCTCTTCTCATCAGTGTCTCATTAGTGTGCACAAAAGCTCATTCTCTAATCCTGTACTTTTAGGTAATTGATGCTTAGCGAGTAATGTTAGAACAGCCATACAAGTAGTGCGACAGTAGACGTCGTGTTCCGCATGCTTTTTTGCAGTTCGATTTCGTTCCAACCATCGTGCTCTTTTCCGAAGACCAATTTGGAAACATTGCTCCATTAACAAACTTCAACCAAAGTAAAAATGTATAACCTGATTTTTTTTTAACCAGCTAGCAGAGTGAGGACTAGCTCTGGCAGCAGCGTCTTATGGTCATTATTAGCGCAGGAATCATTCACGGAATGCTTCTTTTTTTGGAATGTAATTTGCGACAATTCAAAACTTCATGAGGTTAATATGATTTCTTTAGCAGTGCTGGTTTACTTTAATTAACCACAGCAATACCGTACATATGGTAACTGGAACACCCTAGTTCGTGGATGTGAGGCTAGGTCAAATCGCGTGTAACTGGAGCATCCTTGGTCTGCTCCTTTTGTGAACCATTAAAATTTGACTGCGACTCCTTAGAATATTCCTAGCCTGTAAAAGCAGTTACAAAAAAGAAGCTGTACTTAATCACTCAACATTTATTATAACATCTGGGGTTCTCAGGGTCAGCAGCCCAGCACCCTAGCCACTGTTCCACCGAGGTCGACTCATTCAACATTTCATCTCATTAACAATATGCATGAGACATTCGTTAGTGTCGCAAAGTGAAATTACCTTAACAATGCAATCCTGCACCATTTCTTCATCACAGCACTCCCACAGGTCCTCGTAGGTTCCATTCTCGGGAGTTCTGTGCAAAGAGAATAAAAAGCACATTCAGTGATGAAAGAGTGGATTGTAGGAGTAAAAATGTAAGAGAACAAATCTCAATTAACAAGTTGACAAAATGCACAACAGTGACTAATGGCAAGCAATAAGTTTCAAATTACATGCCAAGATATGTTTTTCTTTTTGTAAAGTGTTGGTTGCAAGTAAGTGCCTAGGTTGTGTCATCTACTCCATTGACATTTTGCATTGTCTTTGGTTCTTTTTCTTTACCTAGAAACGACCAGCACAAATGTTTTCAGACAGTGCACTCCAAAAGAGATGAGACTGAAATGACAGGGTAGCAAACCCTCAAAAGCCACACACTAAAACAGGAAGCATTAATTGTGGACTGATGGGAACGGCCTTACTTCCAACTGTACCAACTAACGGTCAACTGCGAGCCATTCAACTGATCACTGAGACGATCTAGAGATTCTAGTGTGGGCCGTGGTGGGCCGTTCCATCCATTATTAAACGTTTTTCGTGAAACCAGCTAGTTTCTTTCCGAGTAAAGGATCACTTTAGCTGTTGTGCAACAACGCCTGAAAAAAAAAGGTAACAACTGGTCATGGGACTGCCAAACGGCTACAAAGCACGCAAATCGCATGCGTGACACGAGACAGACGCGACACATTCCGTCACACATGCAACTGGTGAAGAGTTAGGGGGGGGGGGGGGGGGGCAACGGAGCGCGCAACAGGCGGTTGCGCACGCTCCAACCGTTTTCTCTCGGTCCCAGCTCACTTGGTTTCAAAACTCGGTGTTTTCTTTTACTTTCATTCCGTTAGAGCCGGCAGCAGTTTTGCGCGGGAACGGGAACGACCTTACGTGCGAGAGAGAAAGGCATTGGGAGAGTGTGACTATAACGGTTGGATGGCTGTTTGCGGGCGCTAATGGAGAGATACGCAGAGGAGGGTCGAAGCGCGTGGTGGGGGAAGGGGGGGGGGAGAATTGATAGAGCGCGCGCGACGGCGGTTCCGCTAGACGGCGCTGGCTGCGGCACCGATTCAAACGCGACGGACGGGAGAGGAGAAAAAGTGTCGATATGGAAGAGAGAAAGTGCCAGCACATACGGACGCGTGCCGACGCAGACACCGGTTGCGGTGCGCGCCGACACAAGCAAAAGCGCGGGAACTTTATTGTTTGTATCTTGAGGGGGCGCGCGCTTGGACGGTTAGGACGGAACGGCGAGCGACGCTGAAAAAAGAAAGAAAAAGTGGAACGTAAGAACAACGGAACAGGCAGATGCGACGAGGATGGGTGAGAAAGAGAAAAAGGGGAAGGGGAGGTCACCTGAAGATACGACTCCGGTTCGAGAGCGACCGTTACGCATTGTTGAGGAAAAGGGATCCCGCTTCAGATGAAAAGGAGGGGCGACAAAGAGAAAAGGAATAGTTGCATTATTAGGATTGAAGGAGCTTCGCGTCGGGAAGGGGAAAAAAATGTAGCGGGGAAAGTCGTTGCGAAGCCTTCAGTATGTGCGGTCCTCTCCTTTAGATGATGGGAGTCTTTGGGTTCCCGACGACGTTTGTTGTTCCCTGGCTGACCCATTGGCGCGCGGTAACGGTCCATATGACCTCTCTCCGTTACGGGGCACCGGCGGTGAGGAGGTTGTGCAGCTGTGGTCACCTTGAGGGTTCGCAGGTCACGGGTTCGGAACCCCCCCGCAAGAGATTTTAAAGGGGAGAATGGCGTCGCGGGAATTTGGCGAATAGAAGCTTGCGCGTCAGCTGTCTCCAGGCAACGGTTTCCCGATCCGTGGGGCTCCCGCTCGAATGCATGCCAGCAGCTGCGGCGGTCGGCGAAAGGTAGAGATTGCCAAACAACACTTTTTGACAGCGTTGATGGTACGTATAGTAGGCAGTGTTGACGTTCTTGACTGCTTGTAAGAAAAAGCAAGCGCGATGTATGGGCACCCATACTTGATCAGGGCAAACACGGAATGAACGAAAAGTAAACTGAGTGCTCCTTGCCTCTTTCAGGCTTAAAATGCCGTTTCAGGTGAAGATGTCGCCAGTGTCTTTTTATTTTTGCTTTTTTAATCTGATACAATGCATTCATACCCTCCACCTCGCCGTCCTTCCAAGACACTTCTGCCTTTCAGCTAGGTTTTTTTACTGTGTCCATGAATGGTCCACCTCTGACCATGAGACGACGTCACATGGTGACATCATGACGACGTCACGAGTACTGGCTAAAAATGGCGTCGTGATTGCGTCATGTGATGACATCCTACGCTAATTTCTCGCATCCCTCGGGCTGACGTCGACGATCGATTTCTCTCGTTTGACGAGTCTCTAAGGATTCTGCCTCAAAACGGTCGGATTCAGAACATCGACGTTCATTGAGTTCCGCTGCGCGCTGTTTCCCCGGCGATGTGCAACTAAATCACTTATTTACCATTTAGGAAGGCACAACGTCTATTAATCTAAAATAACTTTTTTTTTTGTCATCTCCTTTCCCGCGCTACGGCTTCAAAATGCGAGGAAGTCGGGGCCTGAGCGTCGTTACATGTAGGACCGCCAAGGTCGGCGGTGAAGCGAAGCGGAAAAGACAGCCGCCCAGCGTAAACGAGCCTAACGGACTCGGCCATGTAGAAACGACATTTGGCACACGCGAACACACGCTACATTACATAAAAGAGAAGAGACAACGCGGAAACAGGTTTCCTACGATGTCGTCTGCTCCGTTACCGCACGGAAAGGTACAAAAAAGGAAAAAAAAAGGCAGACGACAAAAGCGGAAGTCGTCTGCTACTCGGCTCACGCACTTCTGCATCTCTCTCTCTCTCGCTCTCTTTTTGCGAGAGTGCATTAAGCTTGACGTTTAGTCCTTTCCTTATACAGCGAAAATGTTTTAGTCTAGCCCGTGTCATCGTGGTAGCTGTATACGGCACGCATGCCACGTGACCCAGGGGGTCTGGAGTATCCACTCCACTACTCGGAAAATGTCACGTGATCACTAGTCGACCAATGAGGTGTAATTCAAAAGGTCAATTTGGAAAGTTGGGCGAGCTGGTACGCTAGCGTATTGAAAAACTTGAACGCGATTGGGCATGGAATCTAGCTGGTAAACGTTAAGGCTGCAATACCAACTTCAGGCTTAGGCTGGAACATTTATTTGGAGATTGTTCCCCAACAAAGTGAGAATATCAATATAACTTGCACGTGACGTCATGGATGCGTCAAAACCGCTATGTTACTCCAACATGGTAGACTCGATGATGTGAACGCAGCCTTGTCTTGTGGCGACTGACTCAAATCTAAGTGTTAACTACGCCGCCGGAACGTTATTGGCCTCTGTGCCTGATTAACAAATAAAAAATCTGCATGCGATGTACTATAGCTTTACCGTGACATAACTCACTTCACTTGGCATTGTTTTGCACTATGGACGTCTGTGCAAAGCTATGTCTAGTTTTTTTTTGAAACATTTCGCTATATAGGTCATCGGGGGGTCGCGCAGACACTTAAAAGTTGCGGAACGCGGCGTCTCATGCAAATGCCGTCTGCACGCCAGCCCCTCCTGCTCGCGCCGTCGTCTGCTACGCGTATGAGGGACAGCAGAAGGCAAGGCGCAAGCAGACGGCCTGTAACGGACTCGGCCATGCGCAGACGACATTTGGTTAGCTGCGGGCTCGTTCGCGGCCTCTAGAAAGAAGGGACGCCACCTAGGCGTGAAAATTCCGTCGGTGCGACGAGACGAGACAAAATGAACTGCACATACGTTTGCGACTCGGCGCCTCGTGGATATACAGTGCTGTGTAGCACGACCGCGAAATCCAGCTAAGCACGGAATAAGGGACAAAAAAAAAAAAAAAGAAAACACCTAATTCGTTGTCGCCTTAGTACACAGGATCAGGAAAATTCGGGGCAAAAGAATTGTCGGGTGGGCGTGGCATTTTTGACAGAAAAAAAAAACGCGGAAATGTGCAGATGTTATGCGACAACCACGATATGATTGTCAGAAAGCCGTAGTAGGGGAACCAAGTTCAAATTTCGCCACGCGTGGCACTGTAGCGAAGACTTTTTCGCTCCCATCTAAATGCGGCCACTATGGCCGAAGATGGAACCTGCAACGTCCACCTTGGCCACGCTGCACAAAGGCGCTACTGTTGGTTACGTGTTTATTCGGGTTGTCGAGCACTTGGCTGGCGCTAACGGCGTATCGCGAAGCGTGAGCTGTGGGGTTAATTGGCGTTACATATTATTTACCAACTTGAAAGTGCGCTTGAGACGCGGACACTAGAGTAGATGCAGACAGGACGATCGCAGAATTATAACCGTCGAGTCGGAACAGTTAAGCATGCGTTCTTCCTGCCTCTGGTGTCCCATGCCAATGAACAAATAGACTATTTAAAGTCCGGCAGTTTTACCGGGCGAGGTGGGGGAAGAGGAGATTAACCCCTGTCCCTTCCCACTCTCCGTCGATTATGATGGCGATGCCAAGAGAACGACAGGCGTCGCGTGAATCCACACAAAACGTAAATTCACACCTTGTTTGTCACAGCGGCGCGTTTCTGCGCTTCCTTTTATGGGCGAAAGGAACCGAGCCGCGGGGCAAGAGAAAATACTCGGCCGGAGGATGGAGGAATCGTTGGTGTAAGGCGTTCATTCAACGATCCGTTTTCACCCCCAAAGAAAAAAAGAAGACGTACATCCTGTGGCGAGGGACACAAGATCCCCGCGTTACGGCGACACGCGCCACCCACTCGAAGGAAGTTGTTGACAATGGCGGGAGAGACGGACCCCGTGCCGGGCGCAAGAAGGTCACCAGCCTCCTTGTAGACTCCCTCTTCCTCCGCGGTTTGTGCCCCCGCTCCGGTGTCGTCGCGCCGCGGTTCGGTAACGCGCCTCACAATGGCACGGCACGTGCCACAAATATCCACCTGGGCGGAACAACAGGAAACCGCCCGCCGCCCGTACTCGAGGGTCACCGTACACCCAGCTGTGTATTGCCCAGCTGGCGATGGGCGCGCGCTGC